TTACCTTGTTTTGACCGTAGGTCAGAAGACCTCCCATTCCATAGAGGGTCCTGCCTCATACCCAAAATGATGAATTGCTCCAAGAGGCCAAGAAGACAGGCCTTGTTGAGTTTCTCCACTCAGTCTATTAGCATTAGCTCATACCCTTTTGTCCAATCATATTTCTACACAGCTGTCCATACCTTGTTAAACCTAAGCATAAAAATGGACAATTTCCCCTGTAGCCTTCACTCTGAAGGCTCCTGTGTACACATTAATAAAATTTGTATGCCTTTTATGCAGTTAATCTTCCTTTTATGAGTTGATTTTTCAGCCTTTCAGAGGGCAAAGGGAAAGTTTTCCCTTGGCCTCTACAGTTGGAACTATTGGTTAATTAGACCAAAAAGGTCACACTGGTTATCTATTCAGAAAAAGCAAAGTAAAATCAGCACCTAAAAAGTAATCATTTCTTAATATCATAAAGAAAGTAAAAGTTAAGAAATCAGTTGGTGTGTTCAGAATGCAATATTTGCCAGCCAGTGGTATACTGGAGCTATTACTACCAGCTGGGGTAAACCAACTGTTACATTTTCACAATTTTGCAAGCCATTTGAAATCACACTGGTTGCTTGAAAGCACCATGGTAGAAGTATTTTACTCAGGGAATAGGCAAACACTACAACCCAGAGTTTTTATATTTTGGAGAGCCTGTTAAACATTTACCAGCTTACCACTGAGAAAGGCTTACACCTGTTCAATATGGTTTTTATGAAGTTTGATCAAATGATATTTAAAGCATGGATGTTTTTGGAATACCTCCCAACTCAGATCTTTTTCCATTATTCCTATTAATAATTCTATCTCCTTCAGTAGTGAAGCAGCTTATTTTATAAATGCACCTGAAAAACATAAAAATTCAGAGAAGTAATAACAAAATGACTAATGGATAGAAAACAGGATTTCCAAAGAAAGGGAAATGAAGTGTTCAGAGGAAACGTTACTATATCCTTTTTGGTGTTTGTTTATTTTTTAAAGAGTTTTGGTAGTGCTGACGAGCTATGCTTAATATCCACAACAGCTGAAAAAGGAGAAAATGGCTTTGAAGTAAAGTAGCAACAAGCCCAATAAGACTGAAGGAAAAACATCTCTACTATTATGTGAACAGTAAAGGCCACCAGACAATACTTTAAGAAGAGGCAACTATCTTATGTGGATATTTAGTCAATGATGAGTCTAATGATGATACCATTTCTCCCTCTCATTACTAACAGAAAAGAAGTAAAGTAGTAACTATAGAAAAGAGAGAAATGTAAAAAGGAGAAAAATATTCACCCATGGTCGCACCATCTAGAGGTGGCCACTGTCAACAACTGCTGCCTTTTCTACTACAATTTCCCATATGCATACATGGGTACATATTCTTATAAGTTTGGATCATTCTCTGCATACAGCTTGTAATGTCAGTTTAATGTCAATTCTCCTGACATCACACATTCTTCCAAAACATGACTCTTAATGGCCTGGGAACAGTCCCCTGATGTGTTACATAATTTGTTTAATCATTCTCCTTCTGGTGGGTATATTTAGGTTGGTTCCATTCTGTACTTTTGTTATTATAAATAATTCTGGTATAAAGAAAAAGCTAGTGAAGGAGCTCAGGAAATTTCACCCCAAAATGTGACTCCTTGGTATAAAAAGATTTTGAATTAAAGGCCATTTAAGATAAAAAAAAAAAAGCATCGGAAGGGGCTTTTCCTCAAAATCTGCATAAACCAGACTGACCCAATCAAAAGATCAAAGGGAGAACTGGCTTCTCCTCCTCTCCCTGTTATCTCTACATATATTGCAGGAAAGATGATCAAAAATGTAACCAGACCTGGCCCAAATCATTTAAATATTATACCTGTCCCTCAGATTAATTTAATTTGCAAAGAGAATCATTTGCAAGTCAATCTGTTTCCCCTATCCATTTTTCTTCTCTAGCACCACTTGTCACCCCTAAACAGAATAATTACCTATAACTTGTCATTTCCCCTCCCCTCCAAAAAGACGGGTATAAAAACATCTGAAATTCATTGGAATATTGAGTAATCACTCTGTGATTCTTCCTATGTGCATGGTAAATAAACCTCTCTCTTATGTTTTTTTAAAAATGTTTTCATATGTTTCTTTTTTAAAATTTATATATTTTTATTTCAGAATATTACAGGGATACAAATGTTTAGGTTACATATACTACCTTTTCCCCATGTGAGTCAGAGCTTCAGGTGTGTCCATCCCCAGACAGTGTGCACCGCATCCATTAGTTGTGAATATACCCATTCCTTCCTCCCCCTTCCCACCTGCCTGACATCCAGTGAATGTTACTCATATATGTGCATATAGGTGTTGATCAGTTAATATCTATTTGATGGTGAGTACATGTGGTGCTTGTTTTTCCATTCTTGGAATACTTCACTTAGCAGAATAGGTTCCAGCTCTATCCAGGAAAATACAAGAGGTGCTAGATCACCACACTTTTTGTGGCTGAGTAGAACTCCATTGTATACATATACCACATTTTATTAATCCACTCATGTCTAGGCAATCAATTTATGAAGAAGCCCCTAAAGGCAATCACAGCAACAATAAAAGTAAATAAATGGGACCTGATCAAATTAAAAAGCTTTTGCAAAGCCAAGGAAACTATCATGACAGCAAATAGACAACCTACAGAAGGGGAGAAAGTATTCACATGCTACACACCCTTTCTCTTATTAATCTGCCTTAATTGTGAGTTGATCTTTCAGCAAACTTATGGGAGAAAGGGCAAGTTTCCCCTCACCCCTACACTAGGATCACTTCTCTGATTATTTGGGAAAAGGCCTGATATGTAAGGCTAATCTGCCCTGCACAGAGATGGTATATTCTTATCAACGGTGTGAGAGTGCCTGTGAATTCACCTCCACTCCATCCCTTAGCATACACACACTGTTTAGGAAGTAAAAACAAAAAACCCGATCTATCACAATCCAGAGCATTTTCTAACTCAGTGAAATAAAACATTAAAAAAAATTTCCCCAAGTATTTATATTTATAACTTCCAAACAACAGGATTTATATAAAGCCAGTGTCTTTAGAAATAGGTTTTTGGTCTCTCCTGCCTCTAAAACATTACCTTGTATAGCCTATAAGTATTTTTACAGTTCATTATGCAAAGTAACTAGATTTTAAAATTCTGTGAGCACCATAAAAGGATATTTAGAGAAATGTTATATGCTTTTCTTCAAATACAAGTCCCTTTTTAAATGCTACACACATTCTTTGTGAAGTATGTGTGAAGCATTTTTAATGAGCTCTATCATTTTGTTCCATTCATTTTCCTAAATATCTTATTATGGTGATTATATAATTTGTATTTGCGTCTGTGTAAAATCAGATAATAGCATGTAACACTAAAATTGAACTGGACTAGAAGTCAGGCAATATTTTTGCCTATTCAATTCAATACATGTATCATAATCTGCTTGCACATAAAGTTTAAATAGTATTACTTATCACTGAAAATCTCTCAGGCCTATCACAAAATGTTCTCCTAGGGTTTGAAATCCTAGAATGGAAGAACTGTAACATAACCATTAAAATCAATATTTTAAAGAAGGAGCAGTTTATCTTTTCCTTCACATGTTTTTAAATAGTCTATTTATATCACCTGACAATTGGAACAATGTAAACTTTATCACTATCCGCTTAATAATTATTCCATTAAAGTTGCGTTAGACAAGAGAAAATGTCACTTCACTGTGGAAATAGCAAGTAACTACCTCTTGAATATGTAAATTCTTACCTTTAAGCTTTTTTTTTTTTTAAAAGCAAACAAGTAGGGTAGGAAGTTGCTTCAGCAAACTTTTCTACGATTGAAATGCTTGTCAACAGTGCCAGAGAGATAGCTCTAAAATAAAAACTATCTAGTTATATGCTGAAAAATTGTAAAGATCTTGTCCTATCACTTTTGCTTTAGGGTTACCCTCAGGGGCAGTAATGTATTTCCTAAAATGATCAGATGATTAGCTAAGTGCTAAATACTATCTGGTGTTAACATTTTATATTTATGCTTTATGTTTCTGGTTTTATTTCTTTGTTAATTTATAGAAGTTCCTAAGCACTCAAAGCTAATTCAGAGCATGGTTCACACTTTATAAAATGATAGACAATCACAAACAAACATTTGCCAATATTTATTAGAAAAATTTGAAATAGTAATGGAAAAAAAATCATTATCATCCAGCCCCCAGCTTTTCTCAAGTTCTCAAGTCACTGTGTTTAACTCTCAATGAAGTACGGAATGTAATACAGTCAGGGTTATCAGAGCTTATGTAAGAATCGCTACCGGAAAAGAACATAGCTGGGTAGTAGTTCTACTGGCTCTTTGAAACCAATTCAATTTAACTAATCACTTTTTATCAATTTATAATCTGCAACCATTCTGACAAGAATGGTAATTCCAGTCTAGCAGGTTCTTAAAGTGCCTTTTAGTATAACTTTGAATAATATATTATGATAGGTTGGTTTCAGAAATGGCAGCAGCCATATCTCCCAGCTTGCAGGTTTTTTGCAATGAGATTTTGCTAAACTTCTCATAAGGAGAAGGAGTCTCATAAGGAGTCTCTTTCGTTTCCCCTGGAATCTGGCTTGCCTCATGACTCGCTTTAACCAGAAGAATATGGTGGAAGTGATAACGTGTGGGTTCTGAGGCTAGGCTTTTCGACATCGTGTGGCTTTTGCTTTAACCCTTTAGGATGTTCCTTCTTTATTCTTATCTTGAAACTGCCTTACTATGAGGAAGTCCAAGCTAATCTTGTAGAAATGGTATGTAGCGGAAAGGCTGAAGGTTCCCAGCCAAGCCCAGTCTGGTCCCAGCTGATCTGCCAGCTGAGGCAGTCACCTGAGTGACCCTAGGCAAAACCAGAAGGAGAATCACCTCCTCAACCCTCAAAATCAAGAGAAATGATAAATCATTGTTTTAAGTCACAAAGTATTAGGCTAGCTTATTACACAATAGGTAGTTAAAACATGTACCCTGACATAGCAGTATCTTATACAGCAGTGAGAAAAAAAATGTATTTATAAAGCTAACAATTTTATTGACTTTGTTGGTTATCCTTTCTAGGTTTATGACTTACATATGGTACAGGATTTTCCTGTGTAACCAGGAGCACAGTCACAGCTTCTAGTTTCTTTGTTGTACTGACCTCCATTTTCGTAGGGTGCACAGGAGAACCAGCACTCTGGTCCCCAGTGGCCATCAGGGCAGGCTTGTCAAGTAAAAAGAGAGAGAAAGAAAAGAGCTTAGTCTTGTAATAAGTCTCAGGATGGTCCCAGATTTCTACTGTTTCCTAAGCAAGTTGGAAAAGTATGTGTGTATGTGTGTGTGTGACTGAACTGCAAAGAAAGACACATTCTAGTAACCACCAAGGATTTATAGCACTTCCAAAAATATTCCCTGAAGAAATCAACATGATGCTACGTCTTGTCACTTTGAAAACACAGATACAGAGGTTGGCTTTTTGCTGAAAATGTGGTTTTTCAGACAGCAACAATGGAAGCAATTTTGATATATATCTTTGGAGGCAGTTGCACAGAACAAAACGTGAAAATGAGATGTAATTTGTACAGGAAGCTCAGGAGGCGTGGTGCTCAGGAAGCTGCCCCCAAATGCTTGCCTAAATCCTGTTCTCCAGTCTTTGCTTCTTTTGTAAACCAGAATAATCACACCAGAGGTTTTTAAATTGTGTATTTTATGAGAGTGTACAACACATAAGGTGGGAGAAATCATGTGCTGTTTTGTTGAATGCCCTTTGAGCTAGAAAAGGACAGGTGAGAAACCACTGAGGTCTCAGATGTTTCAGCGCATGTTCTACCATTGAAACCACTGGAATTAGACACCTGGTAGAAAGCATTCTTTTAACCCAGAGAAAATGGCAAAACTTTTCTGAAAATATAACAATTGTGGAAAGTTACATCAAACCAAGTAGGGCTGTGAAGTATCTTCTTGTCCTGGACAGAGTCTCTGAATAACAGAATTATTACATTTTCTGGAATGGTCATACCTGATCTGTTGATCACTTACTCTGTGCCAAGTGCTTTATATAAACTAGCTCATATTTCCATAAAAATAACCTTTAACATAAGTAACTTTATCTTCGTTTTACATGAGAAACAGAGGCTCTGAGAGGTTAAGCGACTCACTTGGTGTCATGAAGCTAATAAGTAGCAAAGTCGAGCTTTGAACCCAGAAATTCTGGTCTCTGAAACTGGTGTTCTTAGCTACTACACTCAATTTATTCTACAATGCTACGTAATCATCACCTTTAAAGACTACTAATCTGTTCTTAGAGACTCACCAGAGGTCCTCTGATGTGGAACTGCTATAACAAAAATCTGTTTTTCTTAGGATGATTCAGGGATTGTATAGTCTCAAAGGTTTCAAGAGTCTGGCTGGGTTACAGTCTTCCACATTCAGAGGTCCACCTGCAGCTGGTATTCAAAATACCAGAGGCTACAAGCTAACAACAAGGCAGACACTGGCTTCTTTAAAAAATATTGTGTTTTTTTTTTTTTTTTTGCGCTCTTTCACAGGTTAGTTGTAGAAACCAACTCTTCTGTTCTTAGAAGTCGTTGCTGATAAGCTAAGTAAAGCCTGATGCTGATTGTGAAGAGTACTGTTCATTAGTGCCATTGAAATAATTTACAGTCTTTAATTAACTATTCATCTGTAATCTAGACACAGGAGTTAACATTTTTAAAGATATGTCTGGCTCTAGGAGCACTTGGGGCTACCTCACTCTTTTTAAAAGGAGAAAGAAAAACAACAGGCCTGATTTTTCATCATGCACAACTCTTGGAGAGCTCTTTTTGCCTTGATTTCAACTGTCAATCATGGCGAGCCCATTCACCTGCTCCAGTCTGATTCATAATTTCATTTTGTGGTTAGACTAAAATATCAGAATTGGACAAAGTTATCTGATTGAAAAATAATATGTTTTCCAGAGATTATGGTGACCTCTCTGTTTTGCTGATTTACATATACTTTTAACTCATTTTCCTTCACAGTGGGAATCTCAGAAGCATTTTCCAATAAAGTATATTCAGCAGTTGCTTTAAGAAAATGTTATCAGAATAAATTAGGTTTACTCAGGTGTGTGCATATAGTATTGTGTTCTCATGCATTGACTTCCAAGGTATGACTTCTTCAGGGGAGAAATGAACAAGGGGCCAACTCTAAGCTTAAAAATCAGTTGAAGCAGGAGGAGGTTTAGAAATTGGAACAGGGCTCACTCTCATACCACAAGAAACAAACACATTAGTGTAATGTTACTGTAATTTCCCTAAGTTCTTTTCCTCATTGCCTAGAAAGTCACAATCCAGCTACCTAAATAGCCCTCTCTCCACGAAATTTAGATGGACATCGATGCTCACATACTTCAGTTCCACAGCCACAGGACAACCTGGAGCAGTCACACTCCCCTTTGTATTCAATTCCAGAAAAGCCCTGCGGACCTTTTGAAGATGGCAATGCAAGGAACCTCTGAGGATACATGAGGGTCAAAGAAAACTTTCAATTCTAGTACCTGCCTCTGTAAGTGGACCCAACAGGATGATGGCTTTCTTTCAAACCCATTATGTTTTCCTCATTTTAAACAAGACTAACCTTTGGATTACTGCAAAAGCAAAAGGTATCATAATTTGCCATTAGGTATGTATCATTTTATTTGTTATATGCTCAGTATTGCTTTGTATTAAAGAAAAAAATGCTATGATAATTTCCCCTGAATCATATAGTAATAGGTGCTTAATGCAAAATACTTGATAACATGAAAAATATGTTAAATAAAAAATGAACCATTAACATTTATGTATTGACTTAAGAAAATAGTCATTGAGCAATATCTGTATGTCAAGACTGTTTTAGAAATTTGGGAATACTTGGGTGAACCAAATTTGTAGACATCCTTCCCTCATGGGTTCATGTTCTAGCAGGAATAGGCAGGAAACAAATATTATACGTAGTAATAATTATACTATGTGGCATATTATTAGATGATGAGCACTATAGGGAAAGGAAAAAAATCAGGAAGACTTGCAAATTACAATTTTAAGCAGAGTGGTATTGATGTGATTCAGTGAAAAGGTGATATAAGACTTTTTGAAAATGTGAAAGAACTATGTAGATACCTGAGGAAGAGTATCCCATGAGTCCATAGGCCAGAGAACACCATTCCTGACATCTTGGAATACTTTTTCCAAATTTTATGTGCATCTACACACACATATATCTATATATCTATCTATATATAAGTTACTTACAATGGGAATCATACTATATGTAAACTTTTATATTTGTAGATTTATAAAAAGTTTATGTAATATCTAGAAATTTGAGAAAGGACATTGATAACTCTATTTAAAATTTCCAAAGTTTTTAACTGATTAAGTATCTTTGAATTATATTTGTTTGAATGATCAATCTTTAGATATAAAGAAAATGATTCTTTAATTCTGGAATCTAGCGCTGCCATTGGTTGATTAGTTCCTCTCAAAGAGGTGGTTGTCTAGCTTTAATCTTTTCAGAATAAGATTCTCTGCAATGTGATCTTTCTTTCCTTGCTCAGGCTAGCAAGGGGAGAGCTAGCAGCAGATCCTGAGAAGGCAGCATTAAATAACTTTATTGCCCATGTCTCAGTTTCTTCACCTGAAATAGGGAATAATAAAGTTTATCCATCTCCTGAGGACCCTGGTCGATTAACTAATTAGTAATCATATGATGCTGAACAAAGGCTGAGTATTATTATTAGTGAGGAAAGAAAATCTATCATCAGAGTGTACCTTTCTGGCATCCGTTGCCTTGGTAACCAGATTTGCAGGTGCAACTACCATTTTTGGCACTGCATTCCAGGGTGTTCTTCTCTGCACACTGACATTCTGAAGAGCAGCCAGCTCCATAGGCCCCCCTGGGACAGTCTGCAAGCAAATTGAGGCAAACTGGTCACCTGAAAGCCATGCTTTATTTTAAATTGTTAGTGCACAGACATGTAGTTCTGTGGGGTCTGATTATGGGGAAAGCAAGGAGATCATCCTGACTGCCAAAAAAATAAGGAAACAAATTCCTTTCAAATCAGGCAATTCATTTGCTTTTTGGCAACTGGACGTGAACAGTGAAGCCTGAACTACTTAAAAGGCTTTGGTGCTTCCGGGAGAGAAATTGCTTCTCAATGTGCTCCATTGGTGCCTATAGTTAATATTCTCCAAAGAATGCTAAAGCCTGCCAGGACCTATATTCAACCTAGCGCAGCATGGAGATGATGGGCAAGCATTTATGGGAAGGTTTGCCATTGTTTTCATTCCCTTTCATTATATGGTAATCAGAAATAATTTTACATCCTGCAGATAACACAAAGCTTTCATTGTGACAGCAGCATTATCTTGGCCACATCTTTGGCAAATGGTGCTTACCTTCCTTTCATTATTTTCCCCATGCCATTGAGGTTTAGGGATGGTAGTCCGTACAGGAATTCTAATATGAAAAAGTCCCACCTTTGCATTCAGGAAAGCATACCCATAGTTTTCTCTGTGAGTAGCTACTTACAGTAACTCAATTCCCTTTCCAAAATATAAGTCTGACATTTTTTTCCTTCCCTATTATAGATGTCCAAGTGACACATCAAATGAAAAACACTTAAGTGCCCTCCAGGTTCAGTGTAATTGTATTGTGTACCCATATAGGCTTTGCTGTAGACAGCTTCTGAAGGAGAATAAAACAAACCATTTTACTTTCTGGTAAAAGGAAAGAGACATTAGTAGAGATAATTCAGAGTGGTGGTTATGATGCCCCCATGTAGGGTGACACCAGGCCCACTTGCCAAGGACAGTCCAGAGTTACTTCTAATGTTAATAGGGTCCTTTTCAGATTGCTCAATTTGGATGATAAATTATATGATCCCTCAATCACCTTTTCTATGACTTCCAAGCTTTAAATCCTTTCCTAGACCAAACAAGCTTCCGGGTATCTCAGGCTATTGCCTGCCTTGATATAGGACCCTTCTTGCTCATTCCTGAAAACTCACTTTGAATTGGCTTTCATGCCCTACTCTTCTTGGTTCAGCATGTAGAACTGCAGTTCAGGGGACAATTTAAACACTATTGAATGCTTAAATGTAACAATTGATATATTAAGAACATATAACTATGGAAATATATTTGGTAGAAAGGAAAAGAAGAAGTAACCTCTATTGTTAATCCAATGCCTACTCAGGGTTTGTTATGCATTAAAACCTGTTCACCAAAAATTCATATGTTGAAGTTCTAAACTCCAATATCTTAGAGTGTGAATGTAAGTGAAAATTTAAACACTGCAGATGTATAATGCTTTCATTGGATCTCCTATTGGGGTATTTACAATTTACTCTCTCTTTTCTAGGTGCATGGCTTTTATAAGACAGATAAGAACCATGGGCATTGAATAAAAATACAATACAAAACACTAAAAGGTGTCTGTTACTAAGAGATGGTCACAGTATTAAGGAGTGCTATGTCTGAATGTCTGTGCCCCTCCAAAAACCATATGTTGAAATCCTAACCCTCAGGGTGATGATAGTAGAAGGTGGGAACTTTGGGAAATAAATAAGTCATGAAGGCAGAGCCCTCATGAATGGGATTAGTACCCTTGTCCTATCTACTAAGATAGAACACATTAAAAAGGTGCTGTCTATGAGCCAAAAAGTGAGCCCTCACCAGACACCAAATCTTCCAGCACCTTGATCTTGGACTTTCAGTCTCCAGAACTGTGAGAGACAAATATCTGTTGTTTATTAGCTACCTAGTTTATGATATTCTGTTGTAGCAGCCTGGATGGACCAAAACATGAAGTTCACCCAGGAAAGATTTTCAGAGGAGTTTCTCGAGGAAAAGACGAGGGTATATGGAATAGGTAAAGGAGCAGGGCAGAGATTGTTTCAGGCTCACAGGTACTTGAACACAGCTTCAAGGAGGGGTGGTGGGCATTCAGTGATAGCTTGTCCAGAGAAATTTTACAAGTTACTGATGGTTTCAAGCATTTATCAATGATTATGTTTTCTTGTATCATCAAAAAAATGTAATTGATAGTCAAAATGCAAAATGAAGAACCTGTGAACCTGTTTAAGAAATTTCAGGGAATGATACTGACTTCAAGTGGAATCCAGAAATAAAAGAGAGGTTTGTTCTAAGTCTTAATATTCAACTTCCATAAAGTGTCAAATGTCCATTTAAATGAACTATTAACAAACCTTCCTCAATAACTAAGATAGAAACTAACAAGGAAAACATGTAAAAAAAATTAGAAACATTTTTCTTTCATTATTCAAAATCTAGATTCTATAATTTGAAAAGGCTAAAGGATAGAATATAATTGTCATACATATATAACTATAGACAATGTGTTTTTTACTCTTGTCTTTTGTCTGATATAGTCTCTGTACTTTTTGGAGTCTTCATGCTTCACACAGAGAGCAAATTCAGTGCCTGTGACTTACTCAAGTGACAATAACTCCCATAGCGCCCTGGTTCACACATACAGGCCCTATCCATCCTGTGGCAACGGCCATTGGTAGCACAGTTACATTTCCTTTTGCAGTTCTTTCCAAAGAACCTTTCAGGGCATCCTGGAGGGTGAAAGGACAGATAAGGCAAACGTTAACCTACATGCAAAACATGCTAAAGCTGTTGTATGAAACAATGAGCTTGAGAAAGGCAAGGTGTTTTCAGTCTGGTTGAAACAAGGCTAGAGAAAGCTTCTAAAAACCACAAGTATGATTCTGTATCTTCAGCTAAAATCCTACAATAACTCGTCCTTGCTGTCAGGTCACAAACTCCACACTTAACAAGACTACCAGCCGCTGCCCCTGCTGACCCCAAGTTGCACTACCATCTGCCTGTCCGCCTCGGCTCTGCCACGCCGGCCTCTGCAGTTTACGCAGTACATCTCATGCCTCAGTCTGGAATGCGCTTCCCTCACTCTTCCTCATTCTGCAGGCTTCTGCTTAAGTGTCACTTCTCTGCAGTCTCTGCATTGTCCTCATGATCTCTCCTCCAACCACACATTAGTATTTAATTTGTAAAACCTACCAACTTTGTAACCTGTAGTTGCCCCAAGCAATATTGCAAGTTCCAGGTGGAAGGACCAGAATCTTGTTTATTTCTTTTTTGTTATCATATCATAATGCCTGGCACCATTCCCTGCAACCACTTCATGTATTTTTTAATAGATAAATGAACATTGCTCACAAAGATAAGTAACTGGAATGGCAGCAGAGACCTTCCTGCACCTCGGAAAGCAAAGTAAATGTGGTTTCCATGTCCCCAGTTTCTTCCATTGGGAGAAGCTAATAAACTCCTCGTGGTTTCTGGCAATCCCTGTGGACGTATGTCCTCATTGACTCTCTGCCGTCAGCTCTTGTGCCTGTACAAGCAGTTTCTTTTTTGTGTTTTATCAACCCATGTAGGAAATGTGGCCTCTTCACTCCTTTCCACACAGAATAAAAAAAAAGCCCATACACAGTACTCCCTGATGCTTTGTGAGATTTTTCACCCATAATTTCTTTTCCCTTTTCCTTTCTCCCTCCTCTCCTGTCCTTCTCTGATTTTCATCTCTTTCTCTCCCTGGTTTCCCCAAGGAGCTCCATTGTTTTTTATCTTATTATGCAGAGCAAATAAATTCTCCCCAGCTCTTACATCTAAACCTGCATACACAAATTCAACTGTTTGCTCAGTGGAAGGAAAAGGCTTTCTCCGTATCAGGATACGTTCTGCTTGGATCACAGTTGGAGATTTCAGTGTCACTTATTTTGTTCTGTTACACATGTCATCAGTCAAAGCAATGTAATGTATATATAGGCACAGTGTTTTACTTCTTCAGAAAAGACCACCTTGAAAAAGACAGATCCAACTTTCACTTAGTTTATTTTCTATCAGAAACTTCAAGAACTTATAGAGCTGTCTCTTTAAGACATTCCCACTGTCTTCACAAGTTTTCCCATGAGCCCCTGGGCGCCCTGGCATTGTCCAGTCAGAGGGTCACAGTGCCTCCGTTCTGACAATCACAGATGCTGCCACATTCTTTTCCATTGGTCTCTGGGGAACAAACCGTGAAGAAAATAGAAAATATGAACAAATAGTATAACATATGACCTGACGTATGCACAAGGAAAAAGTAGAAAAAATAATATAATGTAACATATTTTTGGTGATAAAAATGAAGGGGAAAAAGAAAAGCTTGTCTTTCTATTAGTATGGATCCCAAGTAATTAAAATCTCAGAGGCTTGCAGACCCAGGAAAAACTTCTGACATGTTCCTAGTTTGTACAGAATAATCATTCCTGGGGGGATTACTGATATAGCTAGTTAAAATAATGATGACTGAAGAAACTGCTAACAAGGTTCAAATGCAAAATTTACCTCGTTCTTAAACTCTAACCTTCACATTTTCAAAGCATATCTTTGTTGTACAGCTCTAATCAACCTTAATGAGAAGCAAACTGCATCTTCTTACTTTGAAACGTGGAGAAAAGGGCAGAGAAAATGTCATGTGTTTTTAACCAGGAATGAAGGCAGCTAGAGTTTTCTTGAGGGTAGTAAGGTATTCCACATTGTCGAAGATTGATAAAGTCAAGCAAACAACTGTTTTCTTTAGTTTCTGGGTATTTTTGAAAGTGTTTAGTGTTTCAGTAAAAACAAAAAATTGGTTAAAAATGTCTGTGACTTTATATTTTAACTTAAAAAATATAGCTGTTGAGATAATTTCAGTAATCATTTTAATTGACATAAGTTAAAGATTAATACTATAAAATTACATTTATATCCTCTCCTCCATTCACCCCTTCCCCCTTTCTACATGATAATATGAAACTTAGGTTCTTATGCACCTTTTTCTTTCCTTTCAAGCCATAGGCTATAATGAAATGGAAAGAAAAATGAAAAAATAAAACAAACAAAAAAAGAGATTGGCAAGGAACATTTGTTGAGGCCTACATTATTAGTTTACTTTTTGTTATTCTGAGTTTTTATAGGAACTATAGAAGGGCAATTTTTAAAAATATACCTGTAAAATGAAGTTAAGGAAGTTTAAATGGCTTGCACAGTGTCTATACTATAGCAAATCATCAGTCTAGGCAAACCAACAGTATTAGCTGGCACTACCCACAAAGTAAAATGCGATTATCATATAGTATAAGGATTTGCCAAATATTTCATTAGTATCAAACAGAGCAAAGATCCTAGGGAAGAAATATTTTAAACATGCCCAAACCATAGCTGGATGATTTAAAAGAAGTTATAAGCTTTTCTTTTCATGTTTTAGTACTTTATTTGCCATATGGAAATACACCTATCTTCTCTTTCCACTGGATAGAGTCTCATAATAATGAATGATTTCAATATGAGATCTTTCCAGAAGAAATAGGGTTCTAAAAATGTGCTATTAAAGTTAAATAATATGTGGTAATTTTTAAATTATTTCAATATAATTATTGGAGAAATCCTTAAAATATCAAAGTAGATATTTCCATTATAGTCCAATAAAGATATGGGATTAGAAGGTCTACCCAATGGGAAAACTTACTTTCCAGATCAGTACTGAATGTTCTGTTTTTTTTTTTTTTTTCTTTTGCTGCATTTGAGAAGCTGGTACTCTTAAAAACATAAACAATGATTGGTCACTTCCACTTATTGCAGTTTAAGGGCATTTTTAAGAAAATATTCCCACTCTTCCTTTTTGTTAAAAATTAATGAACACTTGTTTTTATTTCTCCTAAATGGGTTGTTATGTCTTCATTTTTGTAAAATGAATGAAAGAAAGATAGAAATGGCAAAGGAGATGTGAGCTTCTACTTTCAGGAGCAGACTCCTCTTTACAACAACACAGAAACACTTAAGAGATTCTCAAGGTTTTCCAAAGCCAAAGGAAATGCCATCTTATCTTCATTTTATCAGCAAGATAATTTTCAATATTTCTATATTAATTTTATATCAGAGATATTTTATTCAGATATGTTTGAAATAGAATTTTTAGTTTTCGTTCTCATGCCATTGGTTGGTAATCAAGCATTTGGAAGACACATATTTATCAATAAAACTTATAATATAAGGTAAATGTTTACTTCCTAATAGTCATGTGATAACAATTGTTTGATCACAATTTTGTATAATGGAACGTGTCAAGTTGTAGGTCAATATAGCTGGGAGTCTCAATACCAGGTTTGCATCCTCCATTGTAGAGGAATTTCCAATGCATAAACATGAATAAAACCTGGCCAGTAAGCTTGCAGTCTGGTAAGAAAGATAGAAAATGAACACAGTAATTTAAAAAAGAAAAAGGAAACAACGATAATCAATATAAATATTTTATTTTATCAGTTGGCAGTTTTAGCTCCTGAAAGTGTACCTTCACTTAAAATATGAAGGAAAATAACTTTGGGTAATAGATTCTTTATTACGACAAATTTGTATAAAAAATTAAACCATTGTCATTGGCTCTGTATATATATTTTTAAACAGAAAAAACAAAACAAAAACAAGCAGTAAACAGTCAAGCAAGTCCATTTAAATTGTAGTACAAATCCTTTCCTTTTTTCTTCATTGGGAATAGCTTGTCAGGGCCTAATAATTTATTTAAATGAAGGGAATATTATAGTCCTAGCGTACTAGGATCCTATATTAACTTTTACATTTCACAGATAAACAAGAGACATCACATCAAGTTTCCCAGGGAACATAAAATCTCCTCTTCACACATTCAGTTTAAAACCTCAGCACTTCATAGGCACTCTTTATGCAAAACAAATAAATTGGCTTCTTGCCCATATCAGTTGTTTACCTTATTAAAACATTTTGGGAAGAACATGTGTAAAAGAGTAGTTTGGGGTACTTGTACCAATTGTCAGGGTATCGTTTACTTTCATTACAAAGAATGAAAGTAAACACTCCTGCCCAACCTGGTGGGCAGGAGTGTTTCAGTCTTTCCTTGCTGGCATCTGTCTACATTCATGCAGTCCTCATAGCTCAAGCTGCAATCATGTCTGAGGGTGCCATCTAAACAGATGAGAAAGTCATACCATCTTAGTTGGCCCATAATTGTCTACATAACTGAAAATGGAAATGAAACCCTTAATTTCCCATAGAAAATTATGAATCTTAAACATACTTCCTAGAGCCTCAGAAAAGGACAACAGCAAAGCAAAGATATATCTTTTTGAAGTAAAGCTTATTTTCTTTTTTTTCAACCATAACATTGGAATATCCCTAAGGAAGATTTAGAATTTTTAGGAAAGTTAAAAAAATAAAAAAAGGAAAGGAAAAAAAGGAATTGCCACTGATTCAAGAATACAAAAATAATCAATACTTCTGGCATTTTGGTGCTTTTTCTTCCAGGCTTTTCTATGCATAGTTGTCTTTTTTTTCCAAATAAATCTTTTTATTGAAATTTAATACACACACAGAGAAGTACATAAATTTCAAATGTACACTTCAATATTTTTTTACAGTGTAAATAACCCATGTAAATCCTGCTCAGATCAAGATATAGAATATTACCAATTTGATGGCGAGTACATATGGTGCTTTTTTTTTCCATTCTTGCAATATATGTAACCTAAACATTTGTACCCCATAATATCCTGAAAAAAAAACTAAAATATATATAGGATATTACTAGCAACTCAAAATCTCAAAGGTGACTTGATGGTTCTCAATTATTAGACTCACAGACTAAACACTGTCCTGATCTCTATCATCATAGAGTATTTTTCCTTATTTTTGAACTTTATATAAGTGAAATTTTAAAGTGTGTACTCTTTGGTGCCAAGCTTCTTTCATGCAAATAAGGTCTGTGAGGTTGATACATATTGTGTATATAGGAGTTGATTTTTTATGGTTATATAGTATTCTATTGTATAAATGTACCATTATGTATTTATCTACCCATTCTGTTCTTGAGAAAAATTACCTTAATATGAATAAAGATGGAGAGACTTGTATACAGTTGTTTAAGTCTTGTTCCAATCTCAGATTTGCCCCTATTTTTAGGGTGGGGACTTTCGAATGTCCTATCTGAAAACTTGACATTTTTATCAAGGCCTCTCTATCTTGGCAGGCTTGAGCTCCAATGTCTGCTTCCCTGTCACCATGATACTGCTGTTAATTGTGGTTTGTTTTTCACCCTCTAAGCACCTGTCTCTAGATCTCCTGGCCCAGCATATACATCGGCACAAGGCTTGAGGAGAAAAGCAGCAGTGACCGTCCTGCTTGTCTGGTCTTCTCTTCTCTCCAGATCTTGGCTGCTCAAGTTCTGATTACCTTGTTGCAAACTATTTCTATTCTGATTTTGAGTAGCCAAAATATCAGGAGTTTAAGAAACATTAAATTATTTATATTTTTATGCAAAAGTATTTATTAATATTATTATGATGATTTGACCACAACATAAAAATATTTCTGATATTTTATTATACTGAACACATTCTAAAGCAATCATCGAGCTTTGATAGAGTTAAGATATAACAGATAGAGGGAGAACAAAAAGAACCGCTCTGTTTTACAAAGAAAAGAAGCAGCCACAGACTGCCTGCAGTTAACTTTTGCTAGAGATCATGCTAATTTATTTTGATCAGAAGTGATGCTTGAGTTCCATTGTTTCGATATTTAAGAAAAACTCACATTTTAATATTTTTGTCTTGGTCCACTTAAACATATTAAACAATTGCCTCCCTGCATTTTAAAACATAAAAGGGAACTACATTTTTAAGCTATTTAAGGTAAATTTTAACTGTATAATATGACTTCTAGTGGGTTTTAATAGAAGAATTAAAAGATCCCAATCCTTCTCCTCATTATGCTAATTTGAAGATATTTTTAGCTTCATTTCCCTGTATTATGCTTCAAGAGCACCCCTCCACCAT